GCCTGGAACGAGCCCCGGGGTGCAGCCGATGAAGGTGAGTTCACAAACCAACCGGGTTATAGTAAAAAAGTAGTTGGTAGGAATAAAATATTCAAGAATTAAATTATGATGGTTATTAGAACCGCAAAAGAATATAACAGAGAGTAAAGAGTAATGTAATATTTCTAAGTACTATAATTCTTTAATAACCGCTCTTTTTATGTTATTTTATTCAATGTTCAATTCAATGACAACCTGTATTCTTCTAAAGCGTCCCCAAAAAACATTATTTTGTCACATTTGATGAAAGTCTATTGCTTTTACGAGCGAATAAAAAGTATTTTCCTCAAGTTTGTGTATCGACCAATTTTATGTTATTATATTATCGTGTTGAACGAACAACCTTTGATATTACCTACACCCATTTAGAAGTAAAAATAATCGCCGTAATATTGATTCATTTTTTTCTATATCAGAAAACATTTATGTATTTTTTTGCATTGCATCACATTTTTTTTCTTTTTCAGAAACAGCGAGGAAAGTTGAAGAGAAGAAATAAAAATCAAATGGTACTTCGTTAAATGATTTTTCAGAACTAGACGTTAAGTACGCGTATAAAAATAATGACTGAATAAAATCTTTTGATATGTTAAGTTAGCGACAAGTTATTTATTTTAATAAAATATTTTACTGTACTTTAAGTGAAATTGAAGTGAGTGCGGGTGAATTCTTTTCAAAAGAGAGTGAAAGAAAGGTGTAAAACGCGTTCGCATATTTTGTTAAGAAAACTATTTATTTAAAATGTAAGTTTCTTAATTTTATATTCTTAATTCTCTGTGTATTGAAATAAATTATATTAATTGAATAACTTTTTTTTCTCTTGAAATATCCTTAATGTGTAAGAGGAGGGTAACAATAGGGGCTTATCGAAAATAAATGCGTTTTAGTTAAAAAAAGCTTGTGCCTTTAAATAACAATGTAGTTAATTTCCAGTAGGACAATTGATCTAATAAACTAGAGCAGTACTTGCATGTAAAGTCAAGTCTAGGTCACAGACAAGGAGAGGCGCCTCTATGCACTACTTGAAATTAAATTTCCTTCGTCACTTCCAGCGACAGAATTAGATGAAAATGCCTTTTAGATTTCCCTTTTGTTAACATTATTATTTTTCTTCGACTTTGTAGTTATATTAATAATAAAACTTACAAACTACAAGTAATAAATGTAATTAATTCAAACTGAGAATCCATACTTACGTAAAAAAACTTGCAAAACAAGCAAATGAAATGTTTACATAGATGCTACAATACGAGCCGCTAGAAAATTAGAATTTATAATTAGCTCATAGGTTAAGAAAATAAGGTAAGAAAAGCAAAAGAAAACAAAAACCTTGGAGTTTATTGATATACGGGACAAGGTAGAGTACGTTTCATTTAAAGATAATGTTTTTACGCTTTTACTGACCTTATTAATGTTCGTTTATATCTGTACTACGTAAATGCCTCTACCCTTGGGGTTTTTTGAGTTTTAAAACGCGGAGGCTTCGGGAGCTGCGCCGCTTCCCCTTTTAAAATTCCCGGAAGTTTGGCGCGCCCTTAATTAATGAGGGTTGTAAAACATGTGCAGTATTAAAAGAATTTCATTTTACTCTAAAACATTGTGTATACGCAATAAAATCCAGAGTTAAAAAGTCTCGGTAAAAAAATAAAATAATTGTAATAGACGATCATTTTTATAAAGTTTTTTACTTTAATCAAAGTCAATGCAAAATTCATTTTATCATGAATTTGCCGCATGAAAAATAGTAAGAAACATTATAGCGGTATCATAATTTTAAATTTTAACCATTTATTTAAAAATTAACTCTATCATCAGAAGTTAATTAATGGTTCTTAGTTTCAAAAAATAAACTAAATCCATAGAAGCTTTGTTTAGGACAAGTTAAGCCTGTTTGCCTACAGAACCTTCGCTCCGTTCATTAATTAATTATGTTTCCACGATCTATAGAAAAGTTAGTACTTAGTCCTTTTGTTTTGCCACTAGATGGCGCTGTTCGCTTAGAAACTTGGATATGCGTATTCAATTGACAGATCTAGTTCAGTTACTTGAATTAGTTTAAGGTCACTATATTTTGTGGTATTCTGGGTTTAAAAGATAGCAAGGGCATTAAAAGCTATCCGGTTTTATTTTTATCTTCATTACATTTTGCTTTCCGCAATCTTTTTTTTTTCATGTTACGAAAATAAAAATGTTGTTTCATACTAGAACAATATTATTTTTTTGTCAGCGCTCTGAGGGCGCGATGGGGTACGTGATAAAACGGGAACAGTCCTCCCCGCACCCCCCGTGTGCAATTTGCGCAAGTTATGACACTGTAGCCCCCGGCCTTAAAAGGGCACACACTTATCATCCTCGCTGAATTTTATTTATGAATAGGCCCCTAAAACACTGCAGGTAAAATATTAAATTACTAGTTTTTTTTACATAAAAACTAACGCATGTGTAGTAGAAAACTCTTTGAATAATTAAGAATGAAAACCCATTGTCTGTTCCCACCTTTGCGTTGCCTTCATTTGAAATTTACCTTTTTTGAGTTGTCCCTCGTCACGTGCTCATTATATTGCGTTTCTTTTGTTTCACTAATTCTTTTCATTCCATCAGCCAGATGACACGGAGCCGCTATTGTGGTCGTGTCGCTTTAAATAAAGTGACATCGCTCATGCTTTTTGTTAAGCTTTCGGTGAAAAATTTACAGACTAACAATTTTACCGCACCAACCTTAAAACCGTTACTATAAACTGAATTTTTGTCAAATTTTAAGAAAAAGTAACTCTATATTTTGGCGGGAAAACGTGGGTAAAAGACCGTACTTGAAGTGGTTTCTTACGTCGCTGCCTGTGAAAGAGGATGCCATAATTTAAGCTCTTCATTTTCGTGGCCTTTCATCACAAAGCCTGCTATAAAACTATTGAATCTTTCCAAGGCGTCCGTCAGTAATTGATTTTCATTATAGCATGCAAATGAATCTCGTTTCTAATAAACCTCAGTCCGCTCCACAAAGGCAAAGGGTTGCGCAATCTTTATCTGGCGGCCGCGGCCGTGTAAGCCCTCCATTATTCAGAACCCTATTAGCTGAAAGTGGTTTCCTAAAGTTTCACTTAAATTTTCTTTTGTTCCAACATAAACCTATGCTAATTCTGCGACCCTAGTGGAGTCAGCGACAATATTGTAAATTACATTTCATACGTTAGACTAGAGAACATAAAGACTGTTAAATATTATGATATTCTCTGCTTTTTGCAACAGTAGTATAGCCCACTTTAACATTTTCATACGAAGTATTAGCTCGCCCGGTGCAAGAGCACGACCATACAGAAGACAGGCATGAAGTGGAAACAAGCGTTTCCTCTGATTAGTGTAATAGAAACCTCATTTTAGTACTTTTC